ACCAGATATGACAGTAATATTCAAAGCATTGCTGATTACACTTCTAAATATATGAGATAGATTTTGAAAAATAAAGTAAAAAAACAAAACAAACTAATTAATAGTTCATTTAAATTATGTGATTTCAAATTCAGTTTTTTATCTAACGTCTCTGAAAAGCTGGTACTATCTCCAACACTCGTAGTCCGGAAAAATTTTTTTTAAGTGTCGTAAAAATATAAAATTCAGAGCAATGGATCTCGGAGAATAGCCCTTCTTTAACCCATTACCTGCCATGGAGCCTCATTTGGGGATCTGTTAAAATTAAACTCACTACATGTTATTTCTTGTAACATTGAATTTCTTACATACATTGCATTTGATTTTTTAGCCTTTAAAGTTTTTATTATTAGCCATAAAAGACACTTTCTGTCGTAATTTTACATTTCAAGAAGAAAAATAATAAATTATAAAAAAAAAATTTTTTATATTTAATTAATAATTTTTTTTGGTGTTTTTTAATATATATTTGATGTTCTAGTTTCTATAAAACGACAATGGTAACTACTGAAATTAAACATAATGAATAAATAAACTCCTAAGACACATGTCTGGGCAAAATGTGCATTAAAAAAATTGGCAGTTAATGGGTTAAACACATTTAAAAGAAAGGAGTTCGTTGGATTTTCGAGAAATCTACCAGCAACTCATGAAATATCTGACCAGATGTGGCAGCAATATGCAATGCATTTCTTTAAAATGAAAAAAAAAAAAATATCAAAGTTTTTTCTAATCCAAACATATTATTTTAATTACTAAATTAACGCTGTTCCTTAATTTAGCCAGAAGTCTACGGCTGGTTCCTTAACAATAGAGAAAACGAAATTCGCGGTCGCCCTTCCCTGCGCAAAGGACAATCAGCAATTTGGGCGTATTATTCGTAGACCAATAAGGACGAAGGCCGAAGAAAATCGATAAAGTGAACGCGCTGTCCACGATTGGGTTATATGGTAAAAATAAGCTTCGTATCATGGCGGCGCCCAAGAAAAAGTAGACGAAAAAATTCGCAGTGAAGATAAGGCATGTGGCAACATCAGCACGGCAAAAGGTAAAAGGCAAGGAAGGGCAAAATTAAGTCAAGTGATAGCGATTTGTATGAGTTACGATTTTGAATCAAGCTGGGGCAACGCCGGGTCATGCTGCTATTGTGTTATAAAACTCGGCCATAAAGATTGGTCTATAAACTTTTTTCATCAGATATCAGTTGGCTGTTGAATTTCCCAATGTCGGGTTCTTTAATCTTATCAGATGGGATCATTGCAGCATGAACGGTTTATATCAAAGTCTGAATCACATATTGGGAATGGTTAAACTGACATATTCGTTTGAATCGACTGGCAAGAGATGTAATCTTAAGACTGACATAACAACTGATTACCCCCAAAAAAAAAAACAAACAAACAAAAGCTTTCCTTTTTTCTTATTCTGAGTTACAAATGTTCGCTTTTATAATTTTTGACGTTGGGTCGTTTTATATTCTTATAAAAATAGCCATCTTTTATCATAAATCATTAATACATTATAACGTTGATTTCTGGTTAGAGTGAAGTGATTCGTAGGGGGTCCTAACCCTATAGCTAACTTTGTCAAACTATATGGTTAAAATGTTCCAACAGAGGGCTGTTGGCGAAGGCTAAAAAATACTGGTATTGCATTACCTGAAGATTAAGACCCCCAAAAAGGGCCATCTATCAAAAAACCCTTTCTTGTTGTTGAGTAAATAGAAGACATTCAGTTACGCCGATACCCAAAAAAGAACAAATATGGCCGACATGTCAAATACATTTTGTAAACGGTTTTTATCAACACCTGCTTACATTTGTTTTATTATCTAAGGGAACTTGTTTTTAGAGAAACTATTCGTGGGTCAGTCAAGGAAAACTTGCACTGAAAACCTTTAAAAAAATGAACCTATTTGGAAAATTAGTTTTCACTCTGTATATTAAGATTAAATTTATGCCGACTAGAAATTTTTTTTGCAACACATTGAAATCCTCACAGTATTTTGTATTGTTGAAGTTATCGCTAACATTTTTTGTCGACATTTAAAAACTCTGCGTTTCGTCCAATTTCGCAAACCAATAGATGAATTTGAATAAACCGATTTCTATGGAAAAATACTTTGACAAAAAGACGACTTCGTGGTTTAATAATTAATTTAATTTGATTTTATAGGGCTTCATGGTAAACAATATTTTTTCAGATAATTTTTTATTTCTTTCTAACAGCGAAGAATAAATTCTTAGGATTTCTTACCCTTGAGCATACAACATACAACTGACCGTGCGAAAATATTTCTTTCTGGAGCCAAATTTCTACTTTTTTTAGCGTTGGGCCTTAGGATTTGTTTATAGTTCTCGCAAACGTAAGGCGAAGTGGATTCTGGATTAAGGTATATAAAAAACTTAATAGAAGCTATGCAAAAACCACTGTTGCATTTTTATTAAATAAGTAATTGTTATTTTATCATTATATTATTTTAAATAATGCGAGTATTTGAATAATAAAACTAGCAAAAAGAAACTCTATGAATTTTTATTATACTCAGCTTCGCAATCTAGTAAATTTTATCATTATATTTGTAACCCCTTACTTGTTTAATATTGAATAAAAAAATTGATTTTGATTGGTTGATATATCAGAACGTGTGACAGTCGGACGGACGGACTAACGGAAGTCAGAGAATTTTATATATAGATTATATTAATTGAGTATACTTGCAATATTGCTGTTTCAAATATGAGTTTTGTTTTTTAAGCTGAATAAGTATTTCTGAAAAGGTGTACTTGTGTATAATACAACATCCTTATTTGATTCAAAATTTCTTTGAACGAAAAGATAGTAAATGTTTACAGTATCATTTGTAATAATAATAATAAAAATACATGATTTCTATATTAAACAAATATATTAATTTCTATATTAAGCTGAATAATTCTATATTAAACAAATATATTAATTTCTATATTAAAATAAATAATTTCTATGTTAAACAAATATATTAATTTCTATATTAAAATACATAATTTCTATAGTAAAATATATAATTTCTTTATTAAACAAATATATAAATTTGTATATTAAAATACCAAATTTCTATATTAAACAAATATATTAATTTCTATATTAAAATACATAATTACTATATTAAACAAATATATTAATTTCTATATTGAAATAAATAATTTCTATATTAAACAAAATATATTAATTTCTAAATTAAAATACATAATTTCTATATTAAACAAATATATTAAAATTAAAATACATAATTTCTATATTTATATTAGGTAAAATATTAAAATAAAATATTAAACAAATTTAATTTCAATCTTAAAATACATAATTTCTATATTAAAAACAAATATATTAATTTCTATATTAAAATAAATATAATTTCTATATTAAACAAAAATAATATAGATAATTTCTATTAAACAAATATAAATATATAAAATTTCTATATTAAAATATATTAAACAAATATATTAATTTCTATATTAAAATACATAATTTCTATATTAAACAAATATATTAATTTCTATATTAAAATACATAATTTAATTTCTATATTAAGATACATTAATTTTATATTAAAATACATAATTTCTATATTAAATAAATATATTAATTTCTATATTAAAATAAATAATTTCTATATTAAACAAATATATTAATTTCTATTTTAAAATACATAATTTCTATATTAAACAAAAATAACTATATTAAAATTATAATTTCTATATTAAATAAATATATTAATTTCTATATTAAATGCAAATTTCTATATTAAACAAATATATTAATTTTTCCATATTAAAATATATAATTTATATATTAAACAAATATATTAACAAATATATTAAAATACATAATTTCTATATTAACAAAAATACATTGAAATACATAATTTCTATATTAAACAAATATATTAATTTCTATATTAAAATACCAAATTTATAATTATATATGAAATAAATATATTAATTTCTATATTAAAATATTAATTTCTATATTAAACAAATATATTAATTTCTATATTAAAATACATAATATATTAAAATACATATTATATTAATAAATATATTAATTTCTATATTAAAATACCAAATTTCTATATTAAAAAAATATATTAATTTCTCTATTAAAATAAATAATTAATTTATATTAAAATACATAATTTACTATATTAAAATACATTATTTCTATATTAAAAAATATATTAATTTCTATATTAAAATACAAAATATATTAATTTCTATATTAAAAAATAATTTCTATATTAAAATACATAATTTCTATATTAAATAAATATATTAAAATAATTTCTATATTAAACAAATATATTAATTTCTATATTAAAATACATAATTACTATATTAACCGTACAGGGGTTGAAAATTTAAAAAAAAAACATTTCCATTTCCAAATCTAGACATTTTTTGATGAAGTTTCAAGTGAAGATAATAACTGAATGTCATTAATCTTGTTAATGGTTTTTTTTATTTTTAACATTTGAACCCCAATCAAGGCTACAATGCCCCTAGGACGAAGGGAGTTTAGAGGGAGTGAAAAAGAAAGAGAAGACTTTAGTGAGAAGATGGGAGGAGATAATATTAAAGGAACATGCTACAGGGAGGCAAGACGGCGATTGACGTTGCATTTAAATTTTTGAAGATCGTAGGTGGCCGGGAAGCCATAGATCACAAGGGAGTCCCACAGGCAAAAAAAAAAAAAAAAAAAGACTGTTAGAATAGAAAAGACGGTTGTACCTTGCTAGTTCAGGAGTAAAACGGTGAGACCTAGTTGCCAATCGAGTAGCAAGGTTAAGTTCATGCCGTTGAGACCTAAGCTTTCGAACTACGAACAATCCGTCGTCTCGCGCCTCACAAGACGGTGACGGCAAAATCCAACCTATTGTGAATGTTAAATCGAACATCCCGTTCGGCTACGTCGTCGCGTCAGAAGTGAAAAAAGCCGTAGGAGTGGCGCCGACGAGCGCCAGCGTCCCCGACAACCGTTGCTAAACCTAGCGACATTGACGACGGCTTTTCAGTCGTTATCGCACGAAGGCTTCGTGGCACCGCCGCTCTTTTAAGCGTGGCACCGCCTCTCGTTTGAATGTGGCACCGCCGTTTCTTTGAGCGCAGTACCGCCGCACGTTCGGTCGTACCAACGCAGCTTGTTTGAGTGTGGCTCCGACACTCGTTTAAGCGTGGCACTGACGTTCGTTCGGGTGTAGCAACGCATCTCGTTTGAGTGTGGCACCGTCGCCCGTTTAAGCGTGAGACTGCCGTTCGTTTGGGAGTACCACCGCCTCTAGTTTGAGCGTGGTACCGCCTCTCGTTCGGTCGTAGCAACGCATCTCGTTTGAGTGTGGCACCGCCGCTCTTTTTGGCAAACGTGGTACCGCCTCTCGCACCGTAGCAACGCATCTCGTTTGAGTGTGGCACCGCCGTTTAAGCGTGGTACCGCTCGTTTAAGCGTGGTTCCGCCTTTCGTTCGGTCGTAGCAACGCATCGTTCGTTTGCACCGCCGCCCGTTTGTGGCAGACGCCGTTCGTTTTTAAGCAACGCATCTCGTTTGAGTGTGGCACCGCCGCTCTTTTAAGCGTGGCACCGCCGCTCGTTTAAGCGTGGTACCGCCTCTCGTTCGGTCGTAGCAACGCATCTCGTTTGAGTGTGGCACCGCCGCTCTTTTAAGCGTGGCACCGCCGCTCTTTTAAGCGTGGCACCGCCGCTCGTTTAAGCGTGGTACCGCGTCTCGTTCGCTCGTAGCAACGCATCTCGTTTCGTGTCACCGCCGCTCTTTTAAGCGTGGCAACGCATGCGTGGTACCGCCTCTCGTTCGGTCGTAGCAACGCAGCTCGTTTGAGTGTGGCACCGCCGCCCGTTTAAGCATTAGACCACCGTTCGTTTAAGCGTATCACCGCCGCTCGTTTAAGCGTGGCACCGCCGCTCGTTTAAGCGTGGCACCGCCGCTCGTTCGAGTGTATCACCGCCGCTACTTTGAGCGTGGCATCGCGGCTCGTTCGAACGAGGAGGCGTACCGTTGCTCCGAACCCGTAATTGCTCTCATACTGAACGGTATCGTCATTACAACGATAATATATCAAATTGGAGAGATTCAACATTACTGCTGGAAAATCCTTTTTCTAATGTTGAAAGGAATAGACTCGGAATATTATTTATTATTTGGTGTAGGGAAGCGTCAAGTTTTCAAAGAATTTTAATATTAGCCGTTTCCTTATAAGGAAACAGTCGCCGAACATTAGACAGCTTCAACTTACCTTCATTATTTAACATTTACTTTAATCCAGTGTTTCGTCAATTTCTCTCAGCCAGTCTGTGTCATGTGGCTCCGGTCGTTGCTTGTTCCACCCAGTACTACACATGTAGCTTATCATATCCGCCTGCGATGTGTGAATGACGGTCCCTAGTAATCGCGGTGGTTAATTATATATCCAGCATTCACGTTCTTATGCTTGCAATGCCAGATGCCGGTCTGAGGTTACGTACTTCGGTATTCGGCGGCCGGAACGGACTGCCAAATAAACTCTCTGGTACACTCAGACTTGGCTAAGGTGTGTGAGTACGATTGAGAGCACCAGCCAGTGAGTGTCTTGGAAACTTATAAAAATGATTCTCTTAAAACAATCATTCAGGGAAAATAAGTTTCATGCTGTCTAGTCACGGTTTATGGCGTTTCAAGTATTGATGGGGTTTCCTTTCTAGCTTTTTGTTTGGGGTAGTGTGAAACTACAGAATCTTGATTACGTCACTGTTCCTCCCATTTTTGTCATTATTATCTACAAAAGATTCTTGCAATCTAAAACTATATTCTGCCTTTCAATAACCTACAAAAGGTTGATAAACCATAAAAATCAAATCAACCAAAAATAAACTACCTATTTCTTTGTTGTTGTTACTGGTGTTTGAATGTCTTCAATTGAAGCGGTCTCTGTTATCTGGTATAATTCTTTGTTTGTAAATTCTTGGAAAGCCTTGATTTGGATCGATACGGTGAAGCATTTTTTTAAATTGAAATAAATTCTTCGATTAGTATTCGAATCGCAAAAATCAAGAGATATCGATTATCCTTGGAAAAATCGATAATTATTTAGCAACGGAAACAGACATCATTAATATTGCTTTACATTTCCATTTCTCGGTAGTCGATTACACAGGTAAGTAAATGGATGTAATTAATTATTTCATCGTTGTAAATAGAACCAGGGAAATGCCAGAAAGCTTAAAAACAACAATAAATAAAAAAAAACCTACTAATTAAATATTTCCGTTTTTGATTCTCAAGAGCACTGATAATTAATAAGCCGCCAAGTTCGGATTCTGATGTCAAAAGAGTGAACTGTGCTCACTTATACCGCAACTATTATGAGACAGTCTAGGACAAATAGTCTGACGCCCTCACTCGTGAGGTCAATCCTGATTTCCTTGTCCAACCAAGCCGGATTATGGGATCATGCGTTAGCCTGCGCTAAGCTGACTGACTCATTAGATCGGTTTTAATTTCTGTTTCTACAAAGTTAATACTATCCCTTCAAGAGAGATTTTCGGATCATGCGTTAGATTGGGTTAAGCTAATTCATTAGATCGATTCCGTTGCTACAAGGTTAATCCTATCTGTCCGAAAAAGATTTTAGGATTATGCGTTAGAGTTGGCTAAGCTGAGTGACTCATTAGGTCGATTCTGTTCCTACAGCGTTAATCTTTTTATGTTCAATTCAGATTTTGGGATCAAGCGTTAGACTGGGCTAATCTAACTCATTAGATTGATTCTGTTGCTAGAACGTTAATCCTAGCAGTTCAAATAGGATTTTCGGATCGTGCGTTAGACTCGGCTAAGCTGATTAACTCATTAGATCGATTCTGTTGCAGCAACGTTAATCCTATCTGTTCGAAACGGATTTTACGATCATGCGAAGCTGACTGGTTAGATTGATTCTATTCCTACAGCGTTAATCTTATCTGTTCAAACATGACTTTCGGATCATGCGTTAGACTGGGATAAACTGACTGACTCATTATATCGAGTCTTTTCCTACAAGGTTAATCTTATCTGTTTAATACAGATTTGGGATCATGCGTTGGAATAAACTTAGCTGACTGACTTGCGAGATCGAACCTGGGTCCCTTGACGTTCATCCTCTCTATTAAAACCAGATCTTCGAATTATACGCTAGACAAGGCTAAGCTGTCCGACTCAGACCGATTTTGTTACTATCACGTTAATCCTATCTGTTCATGACAGATTATAAGAGCATACAGTTCACACGGTAAGCTGATTTTCGTGGCTGTTTTTATCAGGCAGTATACTAATCCAATCATTTAATGCTGAAACCTAAATATTTTCTACGCAATTTTTTTTTTGGATAATAATGGGTTTAGTGATATAAATCTAATTAACCCATAGTGGGGGGAGATGAGGTGGATCCATACTTTTTCCCATGGCTATTTGCGCGTAAGTGAATATAACGAACCCAACAGGAATTGAAACTCGGCTCTCCGATTAACAATTATTTACTCCACCACCTGCACATCCAAGCTTAAAGCCCCTGGTATTCCTACGCGGTCATCCATCTAGGTACAGACCAGGGTCAACGTTGCTTAACTTCGGTGGTCGTACAGGATCATTGAGTTGCCATCTATCTGACATGGTTAAACTATTATTGATGTAGTCAGGTCTTTTCTTCATTTACTGTCGTTGAATCAGTTTTGGTGCAGGGAAGCCAATCGTTTCCATTCAACTCAGTCATTGTCCTGTTGGGACATGACGTACTGATTTTCATTACCTGTCTATATCTCTGAGATGAGGTATTATGATTATTTACATAGTTCGGACTGTTTTCCTCAAGGATAACAGTCCGAATAATGTAAGTCTTGTACAAGGGGGTTATAGAAAAAAAGAATGACATCAACACACATCAACACAGGTAAGAAAGAAATAAGGAAAGCAAAAGCAAAGAAAGAAAGTGTTGTAACCAAGAAAAGGTTACTGAATGAGGAATAACCAAAATGGCGATTGGAAATGAAATGATAATCTCTATAACATCAAAGAAATATGATACTCGCCAGCGCCGTGAAGTAGGTAAACCACTGTTAGTGGTGGACTACATAGACACCATATTACTCCCACTTAGAATAGTGTCCAACATATTTATGAGGATTAGAACATACCCATTAGTGTTCATAGGTACGGTATATAACACTCTCAAAGTAAATGTCTAGTGTATTCTGGGCCGGATGATGACCTTCTGCAACCCCCGAAGGTAATGAAATTATGCACCCACTCAAATGAACCATCCTTTAACTCGTATCTCAGAGGTGTTCGAAATTCCAATCACCTGAAGATGGCCACAATATAAAACGGTCGAAACGTTGTGAATATGACAATGAAGATGAGGATAACAATCCGAATAATGCAAATAATGTAAGTAATCGTAATACCTCATTTCAGAGATGAAAAAGGCCGTAGCGTACAACGGCCGAAACGTTGTGAATATGGCAATGAAAATGAGGATAATAGTCCGAATAATGCAAGTAATCATAATACCTCATGTCAGAGATGTTCGAAATTTTAATCACCTGAAGAAGGCCGGAGCGCACAACGGCTGAAACGTTGTGAATATGGCAATGAAGATGAGATTAACAGTTCGAATAATGCAAATGATGTAAGTAATCATAATACTTCATCTCAGAGATGTTCGAAATTCCAATCACCTGAAGAATGCCGTAGCGTACAACGGCCGAAACGTTGTGAATATGGCAATAAAGATGAGGATAATAGTCCGAATAATGTAAATAATGTAAGTAATCATAATACCTTATCTCAGAGATAAAGATAGATATTGAAAAATCGGTAGGGACTCGATATGCCAAAAATATGGAGACAACTAGAAAAGTCTCACTAGAAGCTGGCAAAAATTTCAAACCAATGACATTCCTACATCGAGGCAGAGACCTGTGAGTTATTCCTTCAGGCTTAGCACCAAGACTGCCTGTCAATTCAAGGACAGCTTCTCTCGTCGCAGAGAAAGCTGGACACGCCCTTGTCCGAGAGAGATTCCTGTACAACAGTTCGATGATTTTCATTTCTTAACATCATTGATTGGTTTTTTAAGCATTTCACCCCAAGCAAGGCGGGAGTGCCACTAGCACGCAAGGGGTTACAGAGGATTGAGAGCAAGAGTAAAGAGGGGTGTTTGAGGAAAGGATATAGAGAAGGACGGGAATCAAGATCAAGGTATCAGAAAATGTTGATTGACATTACATTTGAATAATTGAAGATTATAGCTATCAGGGAAACAAGTAAGAGGAAGCGAGTTCCATTGTCAGGAAGTGTGAGAGAAGAAGCTGTTGGAGTAGAAGAGACGGCTATATTTAACCGTTTCGACACTGAAAGGGTGAGACCGAAA